CCCCAAAACCCCAAAACCCCAAAACCCCTGAATTAAAAACTAGTAAATCACAGTGAAATATTTATTTAAAGAGTTATCATATAATCTAAAATCTCTCAATTAGAAAGTGACTGATCACCATGAATAAAGTCATAGTATAGATGATATTATCATTAAACTTATTCTGCCTCAAGAGAAGTGAATCTCCTTTTTCTTGTTCTTATTCTTTTTAGATGGTTTAGCACTCTTCGGTCTTTCTCTGATCTTTTTCAAATTTTTATTGAGACCATAAGCTAGCATGACTTCTCCTTTTTTGTGATTACCACCTGGGTAATCCCCATCTACTTCACCATTTATTAATCGATTGCGCCTTTCTAGTTTATCTTTCTTTCTTTGCTAGCGATTCTCATCAGCCTTCTTCTCTTTCCACTCCTTATAAGCAATCTTAGCCATGACTTTCATATTGGCCTTTGCCTTCTTCTCCCTCTCTTCCAGTTCCTTCTTCTATTGATCTTCAATTTTCTTCTTAAGCATTTCCTCTCTCTACTTAATGAGACTCTACTTCAACCATTCTTTGAAGCACTAGTAGGATGCGATTTACTTTCTTTACTTATGGAGCTTTTCATCTCTTTCTTTTAGCATCTGTTCTTATTTTTTTAAATCCTCTTCCTATCTTTTTCTTTCTTCCCATTGCATCAATGCTAATTCTTTTTCTTCTCTTTTAAGTTGTTCTTCTGCTTGCTTTCTTCTAAGCTACTCAAGCATATCCTTCTTAGCCTCAATAATCAACTGTTCCTTCAACTGCACTTCATGCTACTTTCTTCTCATCCATTCTTCGTGAGAAACAGCCATGGCAGATTTCTCGCCTATCACACTTTTTTGTTGACTATTAGCAGCAGACATCTTGCTTCTATTGTTCAAGTTGTTAGTAGTCTTGGCAGCTGCAGTCGTCAGTCTGTCCAGCAACTTTTGATTGTCAATGTTCTCCTTATCCTCTTGATTTGTGGTACTCTAATGTATTTAGTTACCTTGTTTTTTGCCTCCATTGACTAAATTTTCAATATACTGATTCTTATTTCTGAAATCCTGCTCCAATTCGATATTGATCAGTTCTGAGTTATCTACACCAATAGGTCCAGTCTTGGCCCTGGATCTCACTACTTTATCTATCAGGTACAAAGTCTCCTAGGGAAGTTCAATGTACTTAATGGCTTCTTCATCTTCCATTTCAGGGTCGATTTAGGATATTCCTTCAACACCTGAAATTCCAATGCCACCTTGCTTTTCTGGAGAATACTTCTGGGGTTTTTGAATTGAGTCAATCCCTGAGTAAAAATTACTATTCAATTATTTTACCAGTGAATAGCTTCTACTTTGAAGTTTTGTTATTTTATTCTACTTCCTTCTTTTCCTTTAATACTCTGAAATAATCCTCAGGCACAACTCTTTTCTCTCTTACAACATTTTTACTAGAACTAGGAGGATTTTGCTAGAAAATAGATATAATTATTGTCCATTTCATAACTATTAACTTACATTTTGTTGAGGAGGATTGGATAAAGCATTGAAGAACCTACTGTTTGGATGAAATGATCCATAACTCCAAGAAGAGGGTACCGGCACGGTAGGAGCATCTGTTTGAGGCACTATCACAGGTTGTTTTTCTTACATTTTGTTTTTTATAATTTCAAATTTAATTGTTAATTAAACCTCCAATTGTTCTTGACGGGGTTTTGGGGTTTTGGGGTTTTGGGG